GGAGGGGGCCCAGCCACCCAGCGCGAACCAGGAGCCCTGCGGCGTCGAGGCGCGCAGCGGCGTCCGCGCGCGCGGCCTCCGCCACGGTCTTGCGTGATGATCCTGACGATGATGATGATGATGGTGCTGGTGGTGATGATGAGGCTGATGATGATGATGATGATGCTAATGGTGCTGCCACTCATGATGATGATGGTGAGGTTGATGATGCTGATGCTGATGATGGTGCTGGTGATGCTGCTTATGATGCTGATGATGCTGCGGCGGCTGATGAGCATGATGATGGCAATGCTGCTGATGCGAATAATGATGGTGATGTTGTTGATGCTGATGGTGATGGTGATGGTGTTGATGATGAAGCTGGTGATGCTTCTGATGATGGTGATGGTGTTGCTGATGCTGATGATAGTGGTGATGATGGCGATGATGGTGATGATGAGCATGTTGAGGATGATGCTGGTGATGGTGATAATGACGATGCTGATGACGATGATGATGATGCTGATGTTGATGATGATACTGATGATGCTGATGCTGATGTTGATGCTGGCGCCAGGTCAGATGATTGCAGTGATGATGATGGCCCGCCGCAGTTGGCGATGCCGCAGCCGCGCAGCAGACGGACGGCCCCCAGCCGCGACGCGCAGAAGAGCACGCACGGGTGGCCGCCCCGCGCCACGGGCACGCGGGCGGCGGGCCGCCCCCTCGCCGATGCTCGCGCGCAGCGTCGGCTTGGGTCCACGTCCGTGCGCCCGAGCTTGCTGTGGGCCTCGGGCGGGGCGGCGCAATGGTACCACTTCCTCCCCCTGCTGAGGAGGGAGGGGGAGGGGGCCAGGGCGAGGGAGAGGCCGAGGGCGGCGCCCTCGCACGCGTTTCGCGCTTCGTGCTGCCCTTCCTGCTCTTGCCGCGCCCGCCAAGCCTCACTCGTTTGCGCCCCGCCCGAGTCGGCCCTCTGCACTGTCTTGTTTCGCGCTAGAACGCGCTAAGCTTGCGCTTCGCGTCGGGGCAAGGATGACGGGAGGCCGGAGGATGATCGGACGAGGCGGGCAAACACTGGAGCGCTGGCTGGGGGTAGCAATGCCGAAGGGGGAAGGACCATAGACCTCTCGCCGCCGGGAGCGCGCCCCCCCCCCCGCCACTTGAGAGCGCGAAGTGCAATAATCGGCGCGGAGACGAGGGGTCGCCGCCTGCGCGGACCGCGGCAAGCGAGCCTCCCACGTGAGGTCGGGCGCGACCGCTCTGATTTCCCACGTGGGGGGCGTTGCGTTGGCACCCTCCGCGTGAGCCCCCGCGTGGGGTCGCCATACGTCCTCTCGCGCATGGCCCCGCTTCTCCGCTAGTGAAGTGGAACTAAAGGGGCCCAGGCACACACAAATGAAGAAAAACAACTATTACCCATATTTCCCCAAACAGCTTGCTGAACGGGGTGCTGTTGTGATAGAAGCTAACTCCGGCCGAGGGAAAGGGGAGCAGAGACATCCTCACACAAATCTGATGGTCCGGGCCGTTTCGCTTGAGACAACCTCACAGCTCTCGTTTTTGAGTTGGCCGGGATTGGCCGTTTCGCCTGAGACATCCTCGACAAAGTTGCGCTCCGGGACGCCGCGCGAGAGGTGGTCCGGGCTGTTTCGCTTGAGACATCCTCGAAACTCTGAGCCCCGAGGTGCCGTGCGAGAGGTGGTCCGGCCCGTTTCGCCTGAGACATCCTCGCAACTCTGGGCTCCGAGATGACGCTTGCGAGGTGGTCCGGCCCGTTTCGCTTCAGACATCCTCGCAACTCTGGGCTCCGAGATGCCGCGCGAGAGGTGGTCCGGCCCGTTTCGCCTGAGACATCCTCGAAACTCTGAGCTCCCAGATGCCGCGCGAGAGGTGGTCCAGCCCGTTTCGCCTGAGACATCCTCCAAACTCTGAGCTCTGAGATGCCGTGCGCGAGGTGGTCCGGCGCGTTTCGCTTGAGACATCCTCCAAACTCTGAGCTCTGAGATGCCGTGCGCGAGGTGGTCCGGCGCGTTTCGCTTGAGACATGCTCGCAACTCTGACCTCGGAGATGCCGCGCGCGACGTGGTCTAGCCCGTTTCGCTTGAGACATCTTCGCATCTCTGAGCTCTGGGATGCCCTGTGCGAGGTGGTCCGGCGTGTCTCGCCTGAGACATCCTCGCAACTCTGAGCTCTGCCGTGCGCAAGGTGGTCCGGCCCGTTTCGCACATTCTCGCAACTCTGAGCTCCCAGATGCCGCGCAAGAGGTGGTCCAGCCTGTGGGCCCAGAAGACCACATGTTACATATCCCCCCTGGGACCCTAGGAGCCCCAAGAGGCTTCAGAGAGCTTTAGGAGGCCGCAGGACGCTCAGGACAGGCCCCAGGGGTCCCCAGGGGTCCCCAGGGGTCCCCAGGGGTCCCCAGGAGATTCCTAGGAGGCTCCCAGGAGGCCCCAGGAGAACCCCTATCAGAACGTGTCAAGTTAATACACATCCGGTGTCGATTCGTTGATTTTTCCTGCTCTTGTGGCCCCCGTTACATTTTGGTGGGCCCAGACGGCCACATGTTAGATATCCCCCCCTGGGAGACCCAAGAGGCTTCAGAAAGCCCCAGGTGGAGCCCAGGAGGCCACAGGAGGCCCAGGAGGAAGCCCCAGGAGGTCCCCAGGAGGCCCCAGGAGGCCCACGCAATTCGGAGCTTTGAGACGCCGCGCTCGAGGTGGTCCGGGCCGTTTCGCCTGAGACTTCTTCGCAGCACGTTTCGCCCGAGACATCGTCGCAACTCTGGGGTCCGAGATGCCGTGCGCGAGGTGGTTCAGCCCGTTACGCTGGAGACATCCTCGCAACTTTGGGCTCCGAGATGCCGTTCGGGATGAAGAGGTGGATGAGGAGGAGGGGGATGACGAGGAGGAGGAGGAGGAGATGGAAGGGAGACGGAGGAGGATGATGTGGATGAGGGAGCAGGCAGGAGGAGGAAAGAGGATGAGGAGGGATAAGGAAGGGAGTTGCAGGAGAGGACCTAACGGGAAACGAATGTGACATGGACTTGTCAGAACGTGTGCGAGAGGTTGTCCGGCCTGTTTCGTTTGAGACATCTTTCCAATACTGAACTCCAGGATGTCGCTCGCGAGGTGGTCCGGCCCGTTTCGCTTGAGCCATCCTCACAATGCGAAGCTCGAAGATGTTGCGCGCGAGATGGTCTGGCCCGTTCTGCCTGAGACGTTTCGTAGCACACGGGCTCCAATCACAACCTTTCTCATTCCTTCTCCCGCCTCCCTCTCTTCCCGCTTCCCGCCTGGCTCCTCTTCCCTCCTCCCTCATCCCGCCTCCCGCCTCCCGCTGCTGCGCCTCTGGCCGCACTGAACGGGGACGCAATCGACCTTGGAAACCGCAGTGGGTTTAAAAACCCTCTTTGGGGATACTGCACTCCGGCTTTTTCCCTTCCTGAGAAGTATTGATGTCCGCAGAACACTCAGGGGCAACGAAAGGGGGGGATAATGGGGGAACTCGCCATTGCCCGGACTCCACTTGGATGGCCTGGAGGTAAGTCGGGCCCGTCCCTCTACAGGAGAAATATTCAAAAATAATCCAGAAATAATATGGGGACCTTTTTTTTGTTATACAGAATTTTTGCTTGGCCATTTTGGAATATGTGTTTTGAATATCTTTTATTTTTCGTCGACAATCCTCCTGGGGGACACGCCCGACTCGAGCCTGGAGTGCTCGAAGCTGCTGGGGCTGCCGGGCCCGCTGGCGGTGGCGCCCGCGGGGAGCGGCAGGGCGCCCCGCCGCACGCGGAGCAGGGCCGACACCCCTGCGCACGCCCCCCCCGGGCCGCCGCAACTCTTTGAAGAGGCCCCAGGACACACAGATACATACACACAAATGAAACTATTCCCAATATTTTCCATATTTTCTGGGTTTCTGTCTTCCCCCCCACTTCCCATATTTTCCCATATTTTCGGGGGAATCGAGGATTCATTGTGTCTGTGTGTTTCTCTTCCTCTCCTGACTCCTGCCCTCCGTGCGCACGGCCGCGCGCTCGTCTGCGGCTCCGCACTCCCGGCTCGGCTCCCTGAGACCCGACGCTCGCCGTCGCTCGGACGCCCACTCCCCGTGCACCTGCCGATGCTGTCCGTGCAGTTTTTTCGTGAGGTGGCCTGCAATTGCTCCTCGACCTGCTTTTTTCGTAAGGTGACCTGCATTTTTTTTCCGTAAGGTGACCTGCTTTTTTCGTAAGGTGACCTGCAATTGCTCCTCGAGGGTCCTCGCCGAGAAAAAAGGCACACGTCCGAGCGATGCCGGGGACGCTGCGCCGCGAATGCAGCACCGCACCGGCAGGACCGCGCCCGGAGCCCCGGACCCCAGCCTTCGGCAACCTCTCTCGAGCCACACCCCGATCCTTGCTGGTCCTGGGCTCCGGAACCGGGCGCACGCGCCGGATGCGAAAAAAGCCGCAGCGCCCAGCTCTCAAGGCTGCCAGCGCCACCTCTGCTCCGACCTCGTCGCCTCGCCTAGCTCATCGCCCCCCTCCTCCACCTGGCACGAAGGAAGCAGGCCCACCTCGGGGCCTTCCCCCAAGACCAACTCTGCATCTTGAGTCGTTTTCCGAGAGCCCCAGGGCCCGGGGAGAATCCCAGGAAAGCAACAACGGTGAGAGCCGCGGTCCGTGGACAGACGCGGGAACCCAAAAGGGGGAAGAAACTCTGGGATCCGTTTCCTTCATGACCCGCCTTTTATAAGGGGCAAACAAACCTACCTCGCTTTTGACCACCCTCGCTTCCAAGAGATACCAAGCGATGCCAAACTACGGCCTGTACTGGTCAGGCCGCTTGACGAGGAGGCGCGTGGTATGACTTGGTTTTGCCTGGAAGCGAAAGCGGGGTAGGTAATTCACGCTCTGATTTTATTCATGTGGCTATTCACCACCCTCCGAAGGAGCTCAGGACTACTGCCTGCGGGACGGGTGCCGCCGGAAGGTCTTCGCTCCCCCTGCCTCCCCGCCCAGAAGGAGCCCCGGTCTTCGCTTCCCATGAGATATAGAGGAACAAGAAATAATATGAAAATGAACATACGGGGGTCCGCGCGGATTTCTTGGGATCGGCGCTGGAGCCCTTTGGCGGCGCCTCTCTGCGCGAGAGGGAGGGGTCAGCGCGGACCTCCGAAAGCTGAAGTTTATGCGATATGTTGTTCCTTGGATGTAGAAGCAGGGCGACCCTTTGTGTGGATCACCCCTGCGGGGTTCACACATGCATGCTTGTGACGATTGGCGCAGCTTCAAGTGCTTCTCTGGTTGGGGCGTGCCGCTGCCCAAATTTGGCCCTCCCTGGCTGTGGGTCCTGCACCAGAAATCTCAGTCGACAGGGGACAAGGGAGGGGAAAGGAATGCTACTGGAGGAGGGAGAAGGGGGATCTACATGATTGTGCAACCTTGGGCATAACAAAAGCCCAAGCATGCTGCTCCAAGCAGAAATACATGCGGGGAAGGCGTGTTCCACACGAGTCAGAGTACTCCACGTCTTCGCACATTAAGGCATTTTTCCACAGAGGACTAACACTCCATCTTGCCCGTCGCCATGGACACTGGAACCCCCATGGTGTAGGCCTCCTCCATCAATGCATCGATTCTCTCCACTGTGTTTGGCTCCATCATGACAGACGCTCTCTTGGTCCTGAGAGCTTCCTTCGCCGTGGGTGCACTCTCCATCAGCCGAACTGGACGAAGGCAACGCTTCGCTCGACGATGCTGGCGCACATTTCACCCTCGAGCCGTCGGAACGGAAGAACTTTAAGCGAGGAGCGCGCCGATGTGACTGCCTCTCCATCTGACGACGCAGCTCGATCACGTCAGGCGAGTTACTCACCTCCATGAGCTCGATAAGGTCGGTTTCGGGCACGAACACGGCATACTTCTTGTGGGGAACGACGTGCGTGCTGCGCAGAGCACCATTCTCCAGATGTCCATACAGAGCTCGCACCACGTCGATGCAGTTATCGGCTCCTGTAGAGTCAACGAGCTCGATGGTACCAAACTCCAAAGGGGCCTGCGCACGGTCCAGGGCCCCTGTGACCTTCGGAACCCCAAGGCTGCCACCCCCGGCTGCGTCAGAGCTGCTGCTCTCCCGCACCTCGGGCTTGCCCTCCTCCTGCGGATGATCCTGCCGTGACGCTCCTTTCTTTGCTGCTCGTAGCCCTGCTCCTCGGACGGATGACGTGATAGCAGCGTGAACTGGCCGCCCAACTATCATTGCCGCCTGCCTTGGGTTCCCCACTGCCCGCCCAAAAGCCGAGACGCCTGGATGCCTCATGATGTAATATTTCCTCGCGCCCGTACAGAAGCTGACAGCGCCCAAGATTGCAGTGTATTCCGAGGGTGCGAAGATAAAGCCGACATATGCTATAACCATGGGGTAGTCCAGGAAGTCTACCTTCTCGCAGGTTGAAGGGCAAGGCTGGGGAATGTCAGGCAACTCGTCCCCGCAGCAGCTAGGGGCGCAGCAGCGAGGTCCAACCAAGATCCAAAAATTCAAAATGGCGACGGATGAAACGAGAACATTGAAAAACTGTAGATGAGCCTGTAAACCAGTAATTTCGTCGACAATGTCTTCGCGAGTAAGTACGGCCAAGTTGGCTGCAAGTTGCAAGGACGCCTTGAACGCCATCAGAAAACTGAGCATCCCAATGCTCAAGAGTAAATACAGCTGGACCGTCGGGTGGGACCCGAGCATATTGCAAGCACTGCTGATAGTCATGGCCATAGAGCTTCAGGGTGGGTACGTAACAGATGGCAAACAAACGACGGCGTTTTCAACACGTCCTGGCTGACCGTATCTTTAACGGCGTGGTCTGAAGCCGCGAGCAACTTGAGCCAAGAAATCTCGGAGTGCTCCCTCAACGCCCTTAACAGACCAAGTTTACCTATGATGGTTTCTGGATGGGCTGGTGGGGATACGCCAAGCATCCACAATAACATGTGCCACCTGGCTGGACTAGAAATAAACAACACACCAAACATAATGTTGAACGTGTTGGACGCCCTAACGGAACATAGCTGCAACACCCCGTATGATAAATACACAAGGGCATGACGTGAATGAGACGGCTGGAAAATTTGGGCATACATGCGTGATGCAGCTCTGGCAATGATGCACCAAGAGGCCCTTTCGTGATATGAATGTTACTAACCTCTGACGCAACGGGGTAGACTTGACTGAAACTTCGAGCGCATGGTATATCAAGAGCCGCGCAATGAACATGCACACGCATAGGGCAACAAACGGACGAACAGTCAAAGAGAGGAAGAGCGCATGCCAGCACGTGGGCCCCAAACAGATCATTGGTGCAACGAGCGCGACACCCTGCGTGTGTGTGTGTGTGTGTGTGTGCGTGCACGCGCGCGTGTGCAATCCTGTGCGCGCGGAACCTTATATCAGTTGACCGCTGTGCTTGTGGAGGCCCACGCGTATGAGTGTGTGTGTGTGCGTGCGTGTGTGAAGGATGCTTTCGTTTCGGTCGCGGGCCCCACGGGCCGCGCTCGTCGCCGAGCCCCGGAAGCCCGCCTGAAAAAGCAGCTAGCCATAACTGAATGCAGAGCGCGGTGACCACGATGCGACCGCCTGCCATTGACACGCAAGAGCGGTTCCTCGCAACAGAGCTGAGGTACCACGAACTCAGTCCCTCCTGGGCGAATGCGAAGCAAGAGATCACGGAACCTGTCCGCAACGTGGACCTGTGCCGGTGGGGCGGCAGTCACGGCGGTCCGAGCAAAGCCATGCCATCCCCCGGATCGGAGAGTGCGATCGGCACTCTACGTGGGAACCACCCTCTGGATCTTCGCTCGTCGGTCGCGGGCCAAGTCGCCGTGAAGTTCGCGCGCGAAATCCTCGCTTTCTGGCGGCATGGCAGGAGCCAGGAACTTGGCTTTGAGGAAGTCTCACACGAAATTGGCACTCGCTAGCTGCGCGATGTGGGACCAGAAACTTGAAAGCCGAGAAATCCCGACCGAGATCTGCAATTTTCCGTCGGATGGCAAACCTCCGATCGCCCTGGAGGGGGCCCCGATTTGTTCTGAGGATGTCGCAAGAAGAGTACAACTTTCTGGTCAAGGCCCCACTTGGCCCTTCTAGTATCAAACGGCGATATGCACTGGAAACTTCCACATTCGAATCAATTCCATCATTGAACTGAGGGACCGCGGCCTATCGGTAGGCAAACCATGTCTTCCGCTATATCTGCAGTCAACACTTTCCAATCCAGGAGGTCATTGCCATCCAAGCCGCAGCGATCCAAGCAAGCCCACAACGGTTCACGCAACAACGGCCGTGGGCGACTCACACGGCCAGTGGGGCGGAAACCGATCGCGCCCCAGGCAGGGCCACAACGGTACACACACACAACAACGGCCGAGTGCGGCACGCAAGGCCTGTGGGGCGGGAAAGCATGGCAATCCAAGCAAGACCGCAACGGTGCACGCAACACTGGCCATGAAGGGCTCGCAGGGCCAGTTGCTTGGAGCAAAAAGATGCGCCCTAAGAACAAGCCGTATTTTACCAGCCTGGAACATATCCCTATCCCTATGCTGGGCACCTCCTCATCACGATGCCAATCTCAGGGATTCCCTTATTTTTTGAGGGCGAATCCCTAAGATTGCCATCGCCTTTTGGCGTGTCAATCTTAGGGATAAGGATACGTTCGGGGCTGGCAAGTATTCTCCGACTGCGCGTCCGGCCGCGGCGCCCAGGGCGTCGCCGGCTCCGCAGCTCGGTCGGGGGAGGGGTGCCGGAGAGAGCCAAGAACCCCGGCCTCTCACTGGGCATCGCTCGGACGTCCATTTCCTGTGTTTTTTAGATCTCGTGCGTGGTTTCTTCGCCAAATGATCAAGCATGCTCCTCGATGGTCCTCGCCGGAGGAAAAATGCACACGCCCGAGCGATGCCAAGGGCCATGAAGGGCTCGCAGGGCCAGCTGCTTGGAGCAAAGGGAGACGCCCCCCAAAACAGGCCGTGTTCTCCGACTGCGCGTCCGGCCGCGGCCCCCATAGGGCGTCGCCGGCTCCGCAGCTCGGTCGGGGGAGGGGTGCCGTCGGGGATCTTCCGACCCGGGTCAGTCCAGGCCCGGATCAGTCAGGCCTGCAGAATCCTGCAAACTCCTGGAAGATCCTGCACCCCCAAGCCCGGGTCAATGCGAAGGATCCTGCAGGATCCTGCAGGATCCTGCACCCAAGCCCGGGTCAATGCGACCCTGGCCCTGCAGGGTCCTGCAAGATCGGGCGCTCTGGCTGACCACCGTTTGCGTTGACCCCCCGTCTCAAGGCTCCCGATGCCCGAAAGAGCCAAGAACCCCGGCCTCTCAGCGCGGACGAGCGTGACTCGTCAGACATAGCAAAGTGGGGAGGGGGATGCAAGCATCAAGTCGGGCCTGTCCCCCTAATTACAGGGGGACTTTCGACGAAAAATAAAAAGTACCCCCCAAATAACCAAACAATCATCCAGCAGTAGTCTGGGGACCATCTTTTTGAGGATTCTTTCGCCTTTTTGGGGGTTACTTTTGGGGCATGTTTTACTTATCGTCGAAAATCCCCCTGTATGGGGGGACAGGCCCGACTTGATGCAAGCAGTGTGGCCCACGTTGGTTCCCGTGGAAACATTTTTATTCAGGATTCCTTAGCCTTTTGGGGGGTTACTTTTGGGGTATGTTTTGCTTATCGTCGAACATCCCGCTGTAGGGGGGACAGGCCCGACTTCATGCAAGCAGTGTGGCCCACGTTGGTTCCCGTGGAAGAGGTTCCGGCAGAGGCGAGCGACGGAGGTCGGAGGCCATATATGGCGGAGGGCGGTCGAGGCAGGAGCGGGGAGGCAACACTGCAGGGGGCCCTGGGGCACACAAAGAAATACACCCTGCGAAATGCTTAAGAAATCATGGGTTAAGAAAGTCATAGTCTCAGAATTCAAATAAAAAACCCAACATTTCGACTGAAATCTTCGGATTCACATTGAAACATTAAGGATGATTGAGACTCTGGCCGAAAACGCAAGTTTTCTTAAGCATCGCCTGGGGTGTACTCACAAATAACAGGATTCCACACCTTTCCCCATATCTTCTGGGTCTGGGTCTTCCCCCCCAATTCCCATATCTTCCTGTATTTTCGGGGGGATCGACGATTCACTGTGTCTGTGAGTTTTGTCCCCTCCTGAAGAATGAGGGCCCGATGAAGAGAGCACGGGAGATTGTGTCAAGGGAGCGGCGAGGAAAACGATGACCGTGGCGGCGACGGCGGTGGGGTTTGGAGCAGGGCTTCCCGTGTTGGCTTCCGCGTTGTTCGTCTCCCTCGTGAGGTTGGGATTGGGCCGCTCATGCCACCGCTCACACCTGTCCTGGCGGCTCATGGCAGCTCGTGTGGCGAAGATTGCCACAGAGGTCCCGAAGACTCCTTCACCAGGCCCCAAGGGACCTTCAGAGAGGAGGGGAGGGGACTAAGGCCGGGAGCGTCCTGAAGGCCATCTTGCGCTGCAGTGTCAAAGCAGCGCGAAGCGGCCGTTTTCGCGCGGTATTGGGGCCATGCTGGGTCCATCCTGGGGCCTTCTGGGCAGTCTGGGGGATCTATTGAAGGCCTCCTGGGGCTTCCTGGGGGGCTCTTGGGGGCTTCTTGGGGCCACTGACGAGCTTCTTTGGGGCGTGGTGGGGCCTCCTGGAGGCCTGGAGGTGTTGTTGGGCGGAGGGCTCGAACTGTCGGTTCCTTTCTAGGGCGTTCCTGGGGCCTTCTTTGGCCGTCTTGGGGGGCTCTTGGGCCGTCTTCGGGGCCTCTAAGGCTGTCTCGGAGAAATCCGCCGACCCTGTCGGCGTGTGTGGGGGGTCTGTCTGGTCCCGTCGACGGAATGTTCCTTCCCCGTCGGGCGGGAGAGAGCATTCTCCCGTCGTCGGGGGGAGGAGACCAGGGATTGAGGGAAATCGACCCACGTCGTAATCACGTCAAAGGGAGGCCCCTTCCCTTTCTTGTCCCTTACCCGGCGGGGGGTGGGTCCCGGGGGTGGGGGGTGGGTGGGGGGGGTCAAATTCGCATCGCCTTTGGGTTCCTCCTCTCCCACGCCGGTCCTCCTCTTCCTCTGGTCCTCCGCCCCAAGTGTGGAGGGGAGTCCCAGGGGAGGGGGGGGGGACAGATACGCATCCGTCCCTTGGGGTCCTCCTTCCCCTCCCCTCCCCTCTCCCACGCCTGTCCTCCTCCAGTCCTTCTCCCCAGGGGGGGGGTCCCAGAAAGGGGGGGTCCTCCTCCTCCTCCTCCTCCTCCTCCTCCTCCTCCTTATCACTGCCTCCTCCTCCTCCTCCACCTCCTCCTTCCCCTCCCCCTCCTGGTCGTCGTCGATGTCTTTCAGGGTCGGCGACATCGGCCGTCAGGCCTTCGCAAACTTTGGGGTCTCTGGGGGTCTTGGAGCGTCGGGAAGCCCACAAGGGGGGAACCCGAAACACCTTCGAAGACATACAGAAGATCAGCGCATCTTGCCCCTCGGGGCTTTCTTCGGGGGCCTCTTGGAAACCTCTTGGGGCGTCTTGAAGGCTTCGTCTTGGACCGCCTGGAGGCCGTCTGGGGTCTTGGACCGATCTTCCGGCGGCTCTCTGCCCTCCTGCACCACCTTGGAGCCGCCCGTGCCGCCCGAGGACGAGTCCGCAGGAGTGAAGCCGGACTGGCGCTGGGCAGGTGCTGGACTTCCGCCGAGATCCCCTGGTCTCCGCCGGGGTGACGCCCGCGCTCCGCCCGTGGCCGGGCCAGACTGAAAAAGACCCCCCCGGGAGTACAGTCGGGGCCTTGACCTAAGGAACGATAAATGAGGAACGAGGCCCCTTTTTCCTACAAGTAAAACTCCGATCTCCCATCGAAAACCAAAGGAAAACCCAAGGCAAGCTGTGAAGCAATCAAGGCACACGGAGCCCCTCCCCAACGAAAAGGGTTCCTTCTTCAGGGCCCCGACTGGTACCTCACGGGAACCCCTCCGCAAGATCGGGGGGCAGCAGCTGCAGAACCGTCAGACTCTCGGAGGTCCGTGCGGGGTGCTCGGATGCGGTGGGAGCTCGACCACGGGGAGCCTGCTACAGGCAACCCAGTCCTTAAAACCCAGGGCGTTCGTTGTCTCTTGGTGTGGGAGCGTCAGGGCCCCAGAAACCCAGGGCACCCTGGAGGCAAGCAGGGTGCTTCTTGGCATGTGTTTCCACTGCACGCTCTCGATCCCCCCCTCCCTGGCGCGCGGAGTGCACCAGGGGCGGCGCCAGGGGCGCCGCCAAGGAAGGGCTCCAGCGCCGATCTCCCGAGAGAGCGGCGCGGAACTGCCAAGATTTATGTCTCTTCTCCGATGTCACTATCATTGCAGTAGCGTTGTCTCTCTCTCTCTCTCTCTCTCTCCCTCCCTCTCCCGTCCTCCCCTTCCCGCTGGCAGTGCACCGAAATGTTCAGGACACATGCGATGCTCAAAATAGCTTTGCTGCCGATGCGCCATGCAGGCGCTTGGCACACCTTCAACCCGATGTCGCATTCCACCCTTCCCTTCGAATTTCCGAACTGGCGGCTATTGCGTTGGTGGTCGAGCCAGTGTGCAAAAGCACCCTGAATCATCAAGCTACGACGCCCAAATCCTGAACCACCATGGCTCGTAAGATTCCGAGTGGTGGTTCGCGGGACGGGGTCGTGCGTGGACCGCCTGCACAACCGGCCAGCCTGGTGGTTTGGCCCGCTCGGGTATTTCCCAACCGCGGAAGCAGGCAGCAGTACAGTGGGGGCATTGACCTAAGGAACTCCAAATAAGGAACGAGGCCCCTTTCTCCCATAAGTTCAACCTCGATTTCCCATGGAAAACCGTAGGAAAACCCGAAGCAAACTTTGAAACAATCAAGGAACACCGAGCCCCTCCCCAACGACAAGGGTTCCTTCTTCAGGGCCCCGACAGTAACCACCATCGCACCAACCACCAAGTTCGTTCCAATCTCCGACTCGCCTGGGCGGCTGCTCCCCGCAGACTTTTTAGGGTCAGACGCCAGGTGGATGGCTGGGGGGCCTCACCCACGCGCGGCAGCGGTGGGGACAAAGGCTTCGCTCGGCATCTCTCGGCGCGGGCGTCGCCCCCGTTGACGTCGTCTGAGTATGTTTGGGTGGCGCCGAAGTCAGTGGGGATTGGGGATCACTGCACGGCTTCGGGACTCGGGTCGTTCTCTGAGGATGCGTCGGGCGAGTGGGGCATCCGAGATCCCAAAACCGTGCGGCGAGGTCTCTTGGGATCTCCAGGTCACCGCATGGTCCGTCAGACCCCCGAGTCTCGCCGGCGGCAGTAATGCCCAAATGCCACCTCTCCTAGAGTAGCAAATATCAGGAAGCGTTGACCCCAATAGATTAGACGACTCGAATCAAGTAATCAGAGGAATCAAGCATGCTTGGAATCCGCAGCTCAGCAAGCAAGCAAGCGTGCACGCAAGCGCGCAAGCGCGCAAGCAAGCAAGCAAGCGCGCAAGCAAGCGCGCAAGCAAGCGAGCAAGCAAGCACACTAGCAAGCAAGCGAGCAGGCATAGGCATAGGCGTTGGCATAGGAGTTAGGGGGGAGGCACAGGCATAGGCATAGGCATAGCCATAGGAAATAGGGGGGGCAGCGGACCAATGAGGAGGGCTTGAGCTAGGACTCCTAGGAGGCAAGCCCATCTGGAGAGAATGGCATCCGCATGAACTGTCGGACTGGCGCTGGACCCCCCCCGGCGGCAGCTCCAGCGCCGCCCCGGCGGGCTCCGACACCGCCGTGGAGGGGGGGGGGGTCCAGCGCCGATCCAAGCACTCCGCGCGACCCCGACACTCTATGTTTGCGCAAATATTCTTCCTCTTCGAGGACCCCTCGTTTCTTGGTCTCTAGATTCTTCGAGGTTCCCTTCTTACGCAATTTGTTGTTCCTGTAGTTTCGAGCCTCCCTTTCTGGGGTGTTTCCCATCGGCTGCGCCTGGTCGAGAGGCGCCTGGGGTGACCCAGCAAACTGGGGCGTCTGGGGTGACCTAGCGTGAGCCCCAAGGATCAACCTCGAGGATGCATCGCTGGCGAATGTCAGACCAATGCTGGCCTGGGGAAGTGGTGGCGACTCGGTTCCAGATTCAATTGAACACGGTCGCTTCCTCTTCTCGGATCCCCGCCCCCTTCTGGAGGCGACTAACGGGGACCATGACCGAGACTGAGCGCGGAAACGTCGCGTAGATCTCGGTCGCCGTCGATCTCGGTGAGCGTCGATTCGTGGATCGCCCCCGCGAATCGGCGACGACCGACATGGACCACGACCGAGCTCGGCATCGACAAGGTCCCGCGACATCTTGGCCATGGTCCTGGCGTTTCTTCCCTCGATCCCCCTTCCCTCACCGTGGCCGTCGGCTGCCAATCGATCGCAGTGTTCTCGGCCTGGCAGGACCTCGCTGGAACCTCCCTCGCCTGCTCCAACGGGTCGCCCTTCTGCCCGGTCCTCGGGCTGAGCCCTCTGATCCGGCAGGCTGGAGAGCGCCTCGAGCAGAGCCCTCGGCAGGCTGAATGCCCGCCCTCCTCACCGACGCTCTCGCTCCTAGGCCTCGCTCCCCTGTCAGAGGCCTTCCAAGTGGAGTCCGAGGAGATGGGGGCGGAGGATCGCCGATGTACTCGCGATGTACGGGCGACGCCGGCGATGCATCAAGCCGCAGCGCCGATGCATCGGCGATGCGGCGCGATCCCCCGACCCCATCTGCTCGGACCTCATCTGGGAGGCCTGCACCTGTGCCCACTCCCTCCCCCTCCAAGAGATCGATGATGTTCATCATCTGGCACGCGTACAAGTACGTGACCTGCGCACGCGGGGGGGTGCGGCCCCAGACCCTCCAGAGGCTCAGAGGCAGACTGGGAAGCGGGCGCGGGCACCTGATTTGACGATCGTCGGCTCACCTGCTCCATGTGAGGAATTCCAGAAAAAGGGCCTCGCCTTCGAGGAATGGAGAAATTGGCATCCCTTCCTCGGCTGAAGGCGACGGAAGGCCGGCGGAAACAAAACGGGGACGGCTGCGCTGGCGGAAATTAAAAATGTCCTCCCCAAACCTGGCAATGTCATTGCACCCGTGATTTCTGGAACCCGCCATGTGTCTCATCGCACGGTTTTCAGGATCGGCCACCTCGCAGCGAACCCAACGTGTCCGTTTCCATTCGGAGCGACGTGGCTCTGGCTGTCCAGTGCCCGCTGCCTCAATACCATCATGACCTGAATCGCCTTTGCGGAGGTGGGCTTGTAGCCTCCTTGCATGGAGCCTTGAACACGACTGATCATGCAAGGGTGTTGTGCTGGTCTGCTGGATAAGCGCCCACTAAATTCAGCGCTAAAAACCGCACAACTCTCTCTCTCTCTCTTTCTCTCGCTGTCCCTCTCTGTTCTTCAGTCGCACCAAATCCGCCACCGTGCCCTTCGGTACGTACTGCAACACTGTAACGCCAAGTGCTTACCAGCCTGGAACATACCCCTATCCCTATGCTGGGCATCTCCTCATCACGATGCCAATCTTAGGGACTCCCTTCTATATTTTTCGAGGGCGCATCCCTGAGATTGCCATCGCCTTTTGGCGGATCAGTCTTAGGGATAGGGATGAGCTCGAAGCTGGTAAAGCGCTGCACTTGGACAGCTCTCCTCCTCGCCGCGCCCACCTGCACGCACTCGCCCACCCCCCCACTCCCGAGGCTGCTCGGGCGTGCACGCCTCCGAGGCGGCCTCCCGTTTCTCCGAGGTGCTCCAGATTCGGAGATGGACAGACCCCCCTTTAGCGAAACGTGGTTTAGTGAAAACGACCTGAGGCCCAAACCTGGCGGGCGCAGGCCTGGAAAATAGCGGCCACGGCGCCCTCTCGAAAACCGACAACGGACAATTCACGAATCGACGTGTCACTGTTGGGGGTTCTGTCCACCTCTGGAAGATGGCCTCCGGCATGGCCCATGGGCGTGTTTCCCTACAGGGGGATTTCCGACGAAAAATGAAACATACCCCAAAAATGCCCCAAAATGGTCCAAGGATACCCAAAAAATAGTCCCCAGACTATTTTCGGACTATTTTGGGGGTATTTTTATGTTTCGTCGAAAATCCCCCTGTAGGGGGACAGGCCCGACTTAACCGAAATGCTCAAGAGACCTCGAAGGCGACCAACGAGAGGCTCCGGTAATCTGGAGTGCCGAAACGGTACGGTGACAGGCCGTGCGGTGACCTCGAAATCCCCCAAGACCTTACCGCACGGTCCGTCACCGCACGGTCTTGGGACCTCGGAGGCCCCAATCGCCCGATCGGAGAACGACCCGTGTCCGAAAACCGTGCGGTGACCCCGAATCCCCAACAACTCACCGCACGGGGTTGTCACCGCCCCGTTTGGGGACCCCCGTAAGCGTGGTGACCAAGTCCACCTCCCGGAGGCCTCCTAGGAGGCCCCCCGTGGTCCTCTGAGAGAGGCCTCCGAACAGGACCTCCGCCGAAGCGGAAGAGGACCTCTCGGAGGCCTCCCCGGGGTCCTCTGGGAGACCTCCTGATATAACCCGCGCCGCGAACGCGGCGGCCCTGCCCTCTTCTGCGTGGGGCAGCAACACCCAGGAGCAACCCCAGCCGCCCGTAGCGCGGCGGCCCTGCCTTCTTCTGCGCAGGGCTAGACCTGAACGCTGTTCTTCGTGCTGTTGTCGTTTTGCTCCGCCTGCTTTCCTGTAGATCCCCCGGCCCGCCCAGGCGAGGAACAACAACCACGGCCGAGGTCCAGCGACACAGCGTCTAGGTCCAGCCCTGCTTCTGCGCGGGCAGACCTTACACGGAAGCGTCAAGGGCCGCCGCGCGCGCCCCCGGGGGCCCCCAGCCGCCGCCGCGCGCGCGCGCGGCGGCCCTGCTTCCGCCCGCGTAGAAAGCGTACGGCTCGGGAGCACCAAGCGCCGACGCGCCCAGCCGCGTCCTCGCACGGCGAGCCCCTGCCTTCCTTCTGCGTGGGCAGCAGCGGCCCCACGAGCACCAAGAGCGGCCGCGCGCGAGGCGGCCTGGCCTCCTCCTGGATGGGAACAAAAATTACAGTCGGGGCGTCGACCGAAGGAACCCCAAATAAGGAACGAGGCCCCTATTCTCCACAAGTTAAACCTCGATTTCGCATCGAAAACCTAAGGAAAACCTGAGGCACGCCGCGAAACACTTAAGGAACGCGGAGCCCCTCCCCAACGAAAAGGGCTCCTTCTTCAGGGCCCCGACTGTGCAGCCCGGGAGCACCAAGGGCCGCCGCGCACCGCGGCGGCCCTCCGCCTGCGCGGCAGCCCCGCCGCTGTCTGCGTGCAAAACGTTGCGTCGGGAGCGCCTGCCGCCGCCGCGGCGCGCCGCGCGCCGCGGCCCTGCCCTCCCCTGCGTGGAAAAATCCGCCGACCCTGTCGGCGCGTGCGAGGGGCTCGTCCGTTCCAGTCGTCGTCCCCGTCGTTCGTTGGTCGTCGTCTTTGTCGGCCCCTTTCCCTGCCCCCCCCCCCCCCCGCTTTCCCTGGGCTCGTCGGAGCTCCCCCCTTCCCCAGGGTTCCCTCAGCGCGCCAGCCAAAGCGAAGTTGAGCAACGTCGTAATTGAGTCGAAGGGAAGCCCCTTCCCTTCGATCCCTTCCCCGCAAGGGGGGGGACGGGGGGGTGTGGGGGGGTGTCCCGGGGGGGGGTCAGATACGAGGCCCCCCCTGGGAGTCCTGGAGCCCCCAAAAGCCCCAAGACGGGCCAAGAGTGCCCCAAGAGGCCCCAAAGACAGTCCAAGAGAACCCCGAATCGCCGAACGATCTGTCCAAAACACCTTGACGGCCTCCAGACGGCCCAAGAGGCCTGCAAAGCGCCCCAAGAGGCCTCCAGGAGCTTTCCCACGAGAGCCCCAAGAGGCAACATTCATTGATTTTCCATACGTTTTTGACTGATCTTGGCGTTCTTGTCTCTTCCGCTTCCCGACGCGCCAAGACGGCCCAAGAGGCCCCGAAGGTCGCCCCGAGACGGCCCAAGAGGCCCCCAAGAGGGCTCCCTAAAGGCCGAAGAGGGTCCCAAGATGGCCCAAGACGCCTCCAAGGCGGCCCGAGAGGCCCCCAAGACGGCTCCAGGAGAGTGCCCAGACGGGGGACCCGAACGGACATTTCGAGCCCTCAGCCCCAAGAGGCCCCCGAGAGGCCCCGAAGAAGCACCAAGAGGCCCCCCCAAAAGGCGCCCATGGGGCCCCAAACTGCCCCCCAGACGCCTTCAAGAAGCACCCCTGAGGACTCAACCTGCGGGCTTCGGGCTTCCGTCAGCTCAAGACGGCCCAAGAAGCCTTCAAGATTGCCCCAAGCCAGCCCAGGAGAGCCTCCAATTGCCCAGGAGGCCTCCGAGAGTGCCTCGAGACGGCGCAAGAGGAGCCCTGGACGGCCCAAGACGGCCTCAAGAGAGCCCCAGGCTGTCCCAAGAAAGCCTCTGGCCTCCTCCGTTTCATCCTCCTTTTCCTCCTTTTCCTCCTCCTCCTCCTCCTCCTCCTCCTCCTCCTCCTCCTCCTCCTCTCCCCCCACTCTGCTCCCCCTCCTCCTGCTCTCCTCTGCCTCCTTCTCCTCCTCTTGCTTCTCCTCCACATCCTTCTCCCCCCTCCTCCTCTCTCATCCACCTCCTCCACCCTTCCTCCACCTCCCACTCATCCTCCTCCCCCTGCCCCCCCCTCTTTTTCATCTTCGTCGTTCTCAGGGTCGGCGGCACTGGCCGTAAGGCCTTCGCAATACAGCGAGGCAGCACCATGAGCCGCCGCGCGCGCGGCGGCCCTGGGGAGCCGCGCGCGCGGCACCCCTGCCCTCCCCTGCATGGAAAATGCGCCCCAAAGGCACCAAGAGCCGCCGCGCGCGCGGCAGCTCTTGGGCACCATCCCGCCGGCGCGCGCGTGCGCGCGCGTGCGCGCGCGCGCGTGCGCGGCCGGCCGTGGCCTGCAGAAGATGACAGGGCCGCCCGTCGCGCGGCGGAGCCTGGGGGGGGCACCCAGGAGCCGTCGCGTGCGCGGCGGCTCCTGGGTGCTCTGGAGCTGCGTGCTTCCACGCGGGAGAGAGAGGACGGGGCCACCGCGCGCGCGGCGGCTTTGCGCGGGTGCTCCCGAGCGGTACTGTTCTGCGCGGCGAGAGCAAACAGGGCCGCCGCGCGCACGCGGTGCGGGGGCTGCGAGCGCGCCGCGCAGCGGCCCTTGCCACTCCCGGGGTGGTGTCTCTCCGCGCAACCGCAAAAAGGCAGGGCCGCCGCGCGCGAGCGCGGCGGTGGGCCCACGAGAGCCCCCGCGCACGAGGCCGCCGTGCGCGCGGTGGCTCTTGGCGACCCCGAGCGATCATCTCCACGCCGTAGATGACTACCTACCAGACCACCCCAACCCAACCCGAAGACCCGAATTTCGGCTTGGGGGGGGGTAAGGGTTCCGCACGTGTTTTTTCGATGTTTCCCGACCCCTCCCCACTGGAAATCGAGGGTAAATCTGAGCCTTCGGGTTCGGATGGGGTGGTTTGGTGGGTGGTGGGTAGAAGGCAGGGCCGCCGCGTGGGCGGCGGCGGGGGGGCTTCCAGAGCCGCCGCGCACGCGGCGGCGGCTCTTGGTGCTCCCCAGGGGTCGCATCCCGCGCAGGAGAGGACAAGGCCGCCGCGCGCGCAGCGGTTGGGGGCCCTCGCAGTGTCAGGTCGGGCATGTCCCCCCACAGGCGTTTTTGGGCGACGTATTTAAACATAGTGAAGCAGTACGCCAGAGTAGCCAAAACAATGCCAAAAAAACGTCCCGAGATTTTCATATCTATTTTTGAACATTCCTCCTGTAGAG